ATCATCTATCTAATCTATCCATCCATTCATCTATCTACCTACCTGCTATCTGTCAATCATCTATCATGTTTTGGGGGGTTCCATTATATTCATTTATTTATTTTTCAAATGTAACATGTACCCTTGGTCTTAAGGACTTTTTTAATTGAATTTTTGTGATATCCATACAATGTAATTTGATGGTATTGAGACCTCTTCCCCTCTCTACACATCCCCTTACTAACGACACTCAATTATATATATATATAAAGGCCTATAGAATCTAATTTGGGTCTCCAAATGTTCTTCAGTGCTTGTCCATTCACTGGAGCCTGGTTAACCCACCAAGAGTCCCATGCTTGAAAAAGACTGTCTCTCCCCCTCCTGGTAGACATCAATTGCCACAACTTCCTCATGTCTATGTTGGGAGTTTTTCTTTTTCTTTTTCTGTTTTTTGGTCTGGTTTGAGCTTGCATGGGACTTGTGCATGCTGTCACCATTGTTGAGGGTTGATATGAGTGACTAAACCGCTGTCTGGAAAACTCAGTTTCCTTGTTGTCATCAACCACCTCTGACTGTCGCCATCTTTCTGTCCCCTTTTCTACAATGATCCCTGAGCCTTGGGAGGCAGATGTTTGATATAGGTGTCCTATTCGGGGATAAGCACTCTGCAGCCACTTGGTTTCTGCACATTGGTCAGTTGTGGGTTTCTGTGTTAATCATCCTCTGCTGCACAAGGAAACTTCTCTGGTGAGAATTAAGAGATGCATTAATCTATAAGAACAAGCCATTAAGAATCAGTTTAATATGATAACTATTTAGTAGAAAACTAGTATTAGGTTCTCACCTATGTCCTGTGACTTGTCTAACCCGAGGTTCCTAAGCCTGACATCAAGGTTGGGTATGAGTTCCACTCTAGAAAGTGGAACTTAATTTCAATTAAAGAGTGGCTGGTTACTCTCATATTTGTGCCACGATTGCTTTTGTAGGCATGTCTTGCCAGGCCAGTTGTTATTGTACTTCACAGGACTCACAGCTGAGTAAGCACGATGATTATTTTCTCCTGGTAGCATGCAAAGCACCTTCCAGCACACTATATTTTTCTGCATTATCGCCATTAAACATACTCTACTCTTTACATAATAGCAAGAAAACCTCTTATAACCCGCATATGGCTTCCACTGTTAATCATTTTATACAGCCTGTTTTAAGATTTTTTTGCCATGTTTACATTTTCATAGACTTGGAATCATTGAGCATGTACAGACCTACATCCTGCATTTAGAACTTAGCTATATCTTGGGGTTTTTTAACTCAAGAGTATGAGCTTTTCTTTTCAGTTCCTCTCTATAGGCCATTTGAGACTGAATAAAGCTCTGGGATGAAAGATTTGCTGTTTGTCTAGTTTTGTTTGACTTCAAGAAGCCTTAGAGTAAAACCTTTAAACTTCTTCCTGCTGCTGTTTGGTCAGCACAAGAACATGGTATTTGTAACTGTTTCTTGATGTAGGCAGAGGGAATTCTTTTTCATAGCATGTTGAATTAAACACCCAGAGTGTCTGTGGGGTTTCCTCCACTGCACACCTACAAAGGCAAAGCAAATCTTCTCCTTCCCTCTACTTCCTGTCTGCCTTGTCAGTTTCACTGCCAGCTCCTGCATAATATAGTCAAATTATGTGTTGGAAATTCAACCCCGGTTTCCTGGGTGATTGTACAATGCCGCTTTTTCATAGCATGTTGAATTAAACACCCAGAGTGTCTGTGGGGTTTCCTCCACTGCACACCTACAAAGGCAAAGCAAATCTTCTCCTTCCCTCTACTTCCTGTCTGCCTTGTCAGTTTCACTGCCAGCTCCTGCATAATATAGTCAAATTATGTGTTGGAAATTCAACCCCGGTTTCCTGGGTGATTGTACAATGCCGCTACTTAGTATTCCTAGTCCCACAGCAACAATTACATCATGTTCTTTATATA